CAGACATTGTTGGCATCCTCATCTCTGATGAACCTCTTCAAAAGTGTATCAAAATGGGCTCCAATAAATAAAAGCCTGAATGGTTCAGGGTAAATTAACTACACCTACTGAAGAAAGAGCCCCAAGTAAATGCTTTTTTAAAAGTATATTTTTTTAAAATCCGTTTTCCCCTATGAAAGTAATACTTATCAAAAGAAATTCAGAACATACAGAAAAGTAGAAAGAAGAGGGAAAAAAATTGCTATTAGTCCAACCGCTCAAAAGAATGCCACTATTCACAGTTTGGTCTATTTCTTTTAAGTCTTGGGTATTCATTTTTTAGCTTATTGTGATTAGCAGGATACTAACAGATTTTCAATTACTATTTATTAAAACTTAAGCATTTTCCATGTAATTTTATCCTCTTTGTTTAGTTTTCCAATTTTGTGTATAAATAATGTTTTGATGAATATCTTTGCAGATAAAATTCTTTTTTCTTCTGTATTTTGGATTATATTCTTTGGATTATATTTCCACAAATATAATTATTGAATTATTAAAGACAGTTAACACAAGGACCATAAGACTGAATTTTATGATTTACATAGTAGCAACTAAAATTGAGCATTTAGGCACCAGGCCCTGTGCTTTGCACTGTATATGCATTATTTCATTCTTTTTTTTGTTTGTTTGTTTGTTTTTAAAGACAAAGTCTTATTCTGTCACCCTGGGTAGAGTGCAATGGTGTCGTAGTAGCTCACTGCAACCACAAACTCGTGGCCTCAAACGATCCTCTTTACTCATCCCAAGTAGCTGGGATTACAGATGTTCACCATGATGCTAATTTTTCTATTTTGTGTAGAGACGGGGTCTTGCTCTTGCTGAGGCTGGTCTCGAACCCCAGAGCTCAAGCAGTCTTCCTGCCTCCGCCTCTCAGAGTGCTAGGATTACATGCGTGAGCCACCAAGCCCGGGCTATTTCAGTCTTTATGACAATTTATATAATAATATCAATGTCATTATTCAAATGAAGAAACCAATATTTTAGTTAAATAACTTATTTGCTCAAGGAGGCTAAAAAGTAGAGAGATTGAACTAAACCTAGATCTCTCTGACCCCATACTCTTAACCACGGTGTCATAGTTGAGAATATGCATATACTTTTAATAATTCTTTCATTAAATATAACTGAAATTAATCATATCAAGTGGTGTTTCAGAACATTACAAATAGATTGTGGAGATTTCCAAATTTTACGTATTGTTCCTGTGGGATAAATGATCTTGTGAATTAAGCCAAAAACTATTCTTGATGTAGTTAATAATAAACCATATTTCTTTTTTTATTGTTGTTTAAATTAGGCAACAGCTGTTTACCAAGCAAAAGAGAAACTTAAGTCAATAGAAAAAGCAAGAAAAGGTTAGTACTGTGGGAAGACTGGATGACCTGAAAAATTAATTGGCTTCCATGAAACCGGTCCCTGGTTCCAAAAAAGTTGGGGACTGCTGCAAGAGATGGGCTAGTCTTCTCCAACAGGAAACAAATCTCCAGGAGAGGTGACTGAGGCTGGCTGTGTGAATTCTAGACCATGGTTTTGTTTTGTTTTGTTTTTAGTCTTCAGAAATTTTTTTACACACGTACACACAGTACCTTGTTGCACTGAAGCAGTAATTAAACTTTATCAAATGAAGAGTGAGTTGTTCTCACTTCTCAGAGGTAACTGCTATGAAAGTTTGATGTGTGTCCTTTCAGTTTTTTCTAGATCTGTGAATACATTTATAATAAAAATATAAACACACATGTACATATATTTTAAAACAAAAATCAGGTCATGCTATACATATTATTTAGCAGTTTAGTTTTTTTATTTTTTTCTTTTAATTTTAGCACATTCATGGAATATAAGCAGTTTAGTTTTTTTCACCTAATGAATACATTGTAGACATCTTTCTACTTAGGTCTACTTAGAGCCTGGAACCATGTTAAT